CTGGATGGCTGGATGGCTGGATGGATGGATGGATGGATGGATGGAAGGATGGAAGGATGGAAGGATGGAAGCATGGAAGGATGGAAGGAGGGAAGGAGGGAAGGATGGAAGGATGGATGGAAGGATGGAAGGATGGAAGGATGGCTGGCTGGAGGCTGGATGGCTGGCTGGCTGGCTGGCTGGCTGGATGACTGGCTGGATGGCTGGATGGCTGGATGGCTGCATGGAAGGATGGAAGGATGGAAGGATGGAAGGATGGAAGGATGGAAGGAAGGATGGAAGGATGGAAGGATGGAAGGATGGAAGGATGGAAGGATGGAAGGATGGAAGGATGGAAGGATGGAAGGATGGAAGGATGGAAGGATGGAAGGATGGAAGGATGGAAGGATGGAAGGATGGAAGGATGGAAGGATGGAAGCATGGAAGGATGGATGGATGGAAGGATGGCTGGATGGCTGGATGGCTGGCTGGATGGCTGGATGGCTGGATGGCTGGATGGCTGGATGGCTGGATGGCTGGATGGCTGGATGGCTGGATGGCTGGATGGCTGGATGGCTGGATGATGGCTGGATGGCTGGATGGCTGGATAGCTGGATGGCTGGATGGCTGGATGGCTGGATGGCTGGCTGGATGGCTGGAGGGCTGGATGGCTGGATGGCTGGATGGCTGGATGGCTGGACAGCTGGATGGCTGGATGGCTGGATGGCTGGATGGCTGGCTGGATGGCTGGATGGCTGGATGGCTGGATGGCTGGATGGATGGCTGGATGGCTGGATGGCTGGATGGCTGGATGGCTGGCTGGATGGCTGGATGTGGCTGGATGGCTGGCTGGATGGCTGGATGGCTGGATGGCTGGATGGCTGGATGGCTGGATGGCTGGCTGGATGACTGGCTGGATGGCTGGATGGCTGGATGGCTGGCTGGATGGCTGGATGGCTGGATGGCTGGCTGGATGGATGGCTCGATGGATGGATGGATGAAAGGATGGCCACTGGTGGCAAACAAAAAAAGAAGGATGGGGCGCTTGCCAACCCGGAGAGCCGGCTCAAAGCTCTGAGGGCCGGTCACCCAAATCTGAGTCTTCCATGGCTCCACTCGCAAGGCCTGGCCCCATGAGCCGTCCATGTGGCGAACAACAGGGTCCTGGTATCTAGCGGGGGACCGATGGGTTTACACCGACATATACCAGCTTCAAGTTGGTTGGAGCCCACTTTACAGTGCCAACCCTGCCCTCAAAAAGGGGTTCGATTCTGCAAAGCAAGCCTTGTGACCCGCTCAGGCCACAACAATTGTTTGTGCTCCGGGCGTCTTCGGCGTCGGCGTCTTCGGCGTCTTCAGCGGCCTTCAAAGGCGCCGAAGGCCTCGTGCTTGGGCCCCAGCACCGCTGCACACTGCTGCACCCAGGCCGGCGACGGCCTCAGCACGGCCGCTTTGGGCCGGGTTTCTGGGATTCGTCCCAAGGGATGGTGAAGAGTCCGAGCCTTGGGCCTACTTTGAAGATGGGTGTGGATGTGAAATGGCCCCTTTGTTGGACATTAAATGACGTGGTGATGATTTATCCTACCAGCCATTTTGGAGGGAGCTCCTCCGTTGAAATTCACGGCCGTATGATGAACCATGATGTACCTCTCGTGGCAAGTCGCCCAGAAGAAGCATATTGTTTGAGAAGGTTCAACTCATCGGACATGGCTGTCCACAATACTCAGATTTAATGACTTGGGTCCTTGTAGCGTAAGAGATCAACAAGCAATCTGTGGCTTTTATGCAAGGGGGCGGGTTGGCTGCCAGAGAGTCAGAGCCCTTTTGCCAACACCAGAAGCACCAACAAGATGCCTGGTGTGTAGCTAAAATCTATCCAGGCATTGAGTCTCAAATGGGGAAGCCACATACCGCACAGTCTGCAGAGCAAATCCACGCTTTCAACAAACCCTGGTTGCAAGCAGCCCAGTGAATCCCAGGGCTCATCTTCGGCAGGCACTTCCGAGTGGTAGCTGGGGGGTACCCACCGGTTCAACATGGAACTCTGAGGCGTCCTGGAAGGGACCCTCTGACGCATCAGAGGTGCCATGTGACAGGAGGGTACACGAAGGCTGATTGAACCCTCCAGCACCTCCGGCTTAGCAGAAAACCATGTTAAGAATCCCAAGGGCGGGTATCCGCGCCCGTTTGGGACTGTCCCCAACCTTGACTCATCCGGGTTTTGATTGTGGCCTTGGCAGCGTGTTGCACCTATACAAAGATAAAAAGGCCATTCTTTGAACCTGCTAGCAACCACAGCAAAACTAGATTTTTGAACATCAGTGAATGTTAAATAAACCACGGACAGTATCAACAGCAAGGTGGGTTTGAGAACCCGAAAGCAAATCCACAGAGAGCTCTCCCAAAGCAAAGGCACGCACAGCGTTTGAAATTCATCGCGTATGTCTCAAAGAAAAAGACCGCTTAGGCAGCTCCATATTCATCTTTCTCTTTCGGCCTTTGGTTTTTAGTTGGCTCAAGCTCTGGCTCAACCCCTGTGGACTTTGTTTCCCCTCCCCCTCCTCTCCCCCGAAGCCTTGGAAAAGCGCCGAAGCGAGGCACTTGGTCGGGTCCTCCCAGTCGAACGGCGGCCAGTTCGCCACGAAGCCGAAGGTGATGGCCGAGCGCATCGTTTCCGAGCAGACCGCCAGAAGCACCAAGGCCTTACCCGGGGGGGGGGGGCGGGGAGATGCCACGAAAGGAAATCGGAGCAGATGATATCAGGTACCCTTCAAGAAGTGGCTTTGCAGGGTTGTTGCAAATTTCAGGCAACCCAAGGGGGTTGGAAACCATCTGAGAGAAGAGCTGCCAAGAGTCGGTGATGGGTTGGGGGGGGTGCCTTGATGATCTGAGTAGTTCACTTGATCTAAGACGTCAACTAATACCAAAAAAATGCACAGAACATGGCCTAAAATACCAGCTCGCTATGTTCCCCCGGAGAAAAAAAAAACATCGACAAGGAACCGAGGTTTTGGTCAAAATGTCGCGCGCCCCGGGCTGGGGCAGTTCCAACCATGGCACCCGGGATGGGTCAGAAGCCAATGGCATCTGGGTCCAGGTGCCGTCTCGGAGCGGAAGGAAGGGCGCCAGGCGCCCTTCCATGGAAATGGACCAAAGGGTGGAAGACCGCCCACTAAATAGGTATGTGAAATCAAAGGCTAAAGACCAAGAGACAAACAGCTTAGGATGAAACTGATCCACAGCTCACGGAAGACACGCTGAGTACCTTCATCCTTGGGATGTCCAGTGGACATCTGTGATGAGTTGATGGGAACACTTCCTCGTGCTTGTGCGCACCAAAACAAGTAAGAAGTCCAAGTGGACTTGCCCGGTTGAGGCCTTGCCTCTGTTTGAAGCCTGTTGATATACAATGAATGATGAAACAAACAAACCGCTTAAACATTGTAATCTCAAGCCAAGATGCCGCCAACAAGAACAAGCAAACCCAATCACAATGAACTCAACTTCCCAACAGACCAAGCCCACACAAAGTCGAGCCGCACAGGTTCAAGCCAAGCAAATTGCAAACATATGTATTGACCTTACACGAAACACTTGTATGCGTGCACACACGTGTGTGCATATGTATATGTTCATGTGTATATTATGTATATGTGTATGTCTATCTATATATATATATATATATATGTGCATATATATATGTATATATGTATGTGTATGTATATGTATATATAGGTATATGCAAATGTATACGTGTTTGTATACAATACCTGTATACGCACATGTACATGTATATACATATATCTCTGTCTCTCTGTCTGTCTGTCTGTCTGTCTGTTTGTCTGTCTGATTGTGTGTCTCTGTCTCTGTCTCTTTGTCTGTCTCTGTACTGGTCTCTATGCCTGTGCCTGTGTCTGTGCCTGTCTGTGTCTGTGTCTGTGTATGTGTGTATATGTGTGGATGTCTGTATGTGTGTATGTGTGTATGGCCATTTGCGTCTATGCGTGTCGGTATGTCGGTACGTATGTACGTATGTACGTACGTATGTATGTATGTATGTATGTATGTACGTACGTACGTATGCATTATGCATGCATGCATGTAGAGCAAGTACACCAACAATGAAGGCTTACATTAAACTCAGCAATCCTTTATACAAAGAACCCAACAAGCGAACACAGAAAGCCCGACCAAAATCAACAAAACCAAGCTAACGACATGTAAGCCACCAAACAACCAAAAAGAACAAAAACTTCTGCGTCCAGGCGCTACCAGCAGGATGATCGCCACCACCACAACATACACCAGGCCCATAGGTTCATGGGGCAAAGGACGTTCCTTCTCAAACCCCTTTCAATTTCTAACTCCTGGAACTGGTAGACTAAAGTTGCTCAAAGCGGTCAACGGCAAGCACAGCTGTGGAACTGGCCGATGCCAGCCCCCTCGGGTGCACCTCATGGAGTGCTTCTCCTCATGTTCCATTGGTTCACCCAACCTGTCCATAGGCAATGTGCATCCCAAAGGCTAAAGACTAGCGGAGTGAACATGTCCAACCTGACAAAACTACTTCTCCCTACTTCTATGAAACCGTACAATCAGCAAAAGCAGACACGCCTATGCAGCTAAGCAGTAATCTCTGATCACCAGAACGCATCCTACCAAGCTGTGAGCCAAAAAATTGCAGCAATGTGCTCCCAGTGTTTCAGGCACAAATTGCGGCATCCAAGTATTGCAGTCGGACCGTCGCAAGTCACCACAGAAAGCCGCATCTGCTTGCCTGCGCAAGACAACCCTCTCCGGCTCAATGTATCATTCCTGCGAACCGACTTGACAGTTGGATGTCAGTCATGGACTGAGAGTGACTGAAACGTTGCTCCCAAATGCCGCCCAAAAGCTGCGAACCCCCTTCCCTGCGCCTCAAAGTGTCACGCCAAACCCTTCGCTTTGGTCAGTGCCGGATATGGAAAAGCGCTCGCCCTGCGCGCGGATTGAACGCATGGAAAACCCGCGCAATTCCTCGCCTGGCATCTCCTTTGCCATCTGGTTGAGCAACTTGGCAGCCTGGCAAAACGGCCGAGATGCCCCGCCTTTCACCTGCATCTGCCCCGAAAAGCTATCCACGGATCACTCAGTATCCTTACACTCGCTTTGACAATCCACAAAGGGGGGCCCTCAAATTTCGGAAAAAACCTATCCCGGATTGGCCATATGTGGTCACACCTCATTGCAGGATGAAAAACAAAAAATGTGTGCAGGTGTTCCTCAATGAGACAAGCTTCATCTGGGTTTCGAGGTCGGGTTGCACCAACGGTGTCGCGTTTCAGGATACTTCCAGTTGGGGGACTGGATATCAGGCATCCTCAAGAGGAACTGCAATTATGGACCCAGTGGTCAAGCTTCTCCTTCTCCCTGAAGCTCTTTGGATGCTCATGTGAGGTGTGGTCTCTCGTGGTGGTCAAGTCTCTTGTAGATTCCTATATATTTATATATTCCTATATTTGCCCCCTAAATCTCACTTTGGAAACGAGTGAGAACAAAAGCAAGCAGGCTCATACTCGTGTAAAAAGATCTGAAGCATCCAATGAAGCCAACCACCCAACCGACCAACCGACCAACCCACCAACCCATCCACCAACCAGCGAACTCAAGCGCAACAGCACAGACGAACAGCCCAACAGCCCACCCCCCCTGTCCCCAGTCACTCACCAACCCACATGAAAGTAACTCAGCGACCTCAAAACCTCAGCTCAGCGCCCAGGCCCCAAGGCCCCAAGGCCCCAAGGCCTCGCCTCCGTATGGCGGCTCGCCTTGCGGTAGAGTTGCACCGCCTGACTCAGCCCATGGAAGCGCAGATATGAATGGAGGTTTATATACATATACATATACATCTACATATATATCATACACATATACAGAAATGGCCATGGGTCAAAAGCCCGTATCCCCAGTGAACATCCCAATCCTCACTAAAATAGACTAAAATGGGTGGTGCACCTGCCCCAAAATGGTACCATTGGTTTTGACCCACTGCCACGTACATACATAATATAGATGCATATGTACATATAGATAACATGTACATACAATGGACATAAAAATGAATATGGTCTGTTTCATCTGCTTTAATATGCATACACACACATCCATGTTGGAGCCCATATTCCATTCCCTTTCAGATCATGCGGTTTCATCGCAGTTTCTGTCATTTCACCATCATGTCATATCGTGTCATACTCATCGATGAGTAAATCAAGGCAACAAACAACCAGGAGCCTCTGCACCTCTGCTGTGTCGTGAAACGCGGGGCATTTCTGCAGCTTTTGCCTTGTTCCATAATGTATTTGAGCATCATTCCGTCCTTTCAGTGTGGGGCGGCTTGCGGAAACCGCAGGTTGGGAGCTTGAGTGACTGAGTGAACGAGCGGATGAATGAAGACATGGAAGGAGGTCACACGGTTTACCATTCATGGATAAATCCTCAACAAGGTCTTCAAGCCCACCAGTTGTCCAGCCACCTATCCGAACCAATTGAGGGTAATCTGAGACTATAGTTCAAACAAAAGCCCCCAACCAATCCAAACCTCTTGGCTACACAGAGGCAGACACCTTGAGATCAGACCGCTTTGAGACCAGTGCTTTTGTTCCGCACTGCCAGTGCCTCTGTTCCGGGCACACAAGAAGCCTGTTGACCAATCTTCAAATGGAGCCATAAACTCGCCTGTCTTGATCGAAAGTCAAACCTGGAAGTCAGAAGCCTCTCCCTGGCGAACCTCAATCTTCTTGTTCTTGTCGAGGAGGTGCTGCGCATACTTTGCGAGCAAACCTGCGCTTCAATACTGCGCGCACTCCGGGCTTTCGCCCGAAATTTGTCCTCCCAAAGTTGGGCTGTCGGCTGGTTGCCTGTAAGACGGTCTGGATAAAACCGGATGCAAGGAGCAGCGAGGCAAAAGCTGCTTGCACTGCTGGAATTGATTCCACACAAAAAAAATGCCAGCTTGTTGCATCATGAGAAAGCTGATAGTTCAGCAGGGTAAGCAACCAGCATGTTGAGAACCTGAAGTCATTAGTTGCAGAAAGCCAAGCTTCGCTTGCCTCCTTGACCATTGTATGTGCCCATTCACACAACAACTCCCCCCCGAAGGACACGCCACAACCACTGCGGAGCCTTTTGCATCAGATCCCCAGACTGAAAGGCTCCTGAACAGACTGCGAGTGGGTCCCTGTCGCCAGCCGCAGAGCAAGCCCTTGGCCACAAAAGGCCTTAATGCTTGCCATCGGTCCATTCGGGCGGTCTCGAAATTCAAGGCTGCTTCCCCAACTGGAGAGGAATCCCCAAAAGAAGCTTCATCATTGGGTTTCACTCACCAAGAAGCTCGTTTCACCCAACCCCATCCCCCTCGTCCCCCGCGCCAGCCCCGTCCGCCTCCCCCCCCCCCCCCCGTTTCTGGGCTCAAGCCTTCGATCTGCTGGAAGTTATGCTGCTGCGCGAGGTTGACTGCCAGCTCCCACTGGTTTAGCAGCACACACCTCGGAGCCAACCAAAAGACCCGGCACTTGGCCGGGGAGTCCGAAGGTAGAATCAATGGACTGTCTCCAAAACTCCTTGTATTTCTTTGCACGTCGACCTTTTTCTCTCCCTTGCGTCTGGTTTGATGGCTTCCTTCCTGACACACCCCGTGCTGGAGTTGGTCCCTCCAGGCTCGGCCCAATGGGGTTGACCACAGGGTACTCCACACGCATGGGTCGCAAAGGCTCAGCATAGGTTCTCTCTTGCTTGGGACAAAGAGAATCACAAGCCAGAATACAGAAATACTTGGACTATATTTGTCGGCCGCATCGCAGCAATCACTGTTTGACCCCCGACCCTCCTTTCACTTTGACACACCCCTTCGTCTGCCGGGTCAGTTTACGGTTTGGGGTTGGTTGAAGGCTGGTTTAGGGCTGGTTTAGCGGGCTTGGGGTGGTTTGGGTCGGCTTAGAGTCGGCTTAGGCTTGCTTTAGGGTGGGCTTCGGGTTGGCTTGGGGATGGTTTAGGGTTAGGGTTGGGTTAGGGCTGGCTTAGGGTTGGTTTAGGGTTTGTTTGAGGGTTAGCTTAGGGTGGTTTAGAGTCGGCTTAGGGTCGATTTAGGGTCGGCTTAGGGTCGGTTTAGGGTTGGCTTAGGGTAAGTTTAGGGAGGGTCGTTTTCGGATTGGTTTAGGGTTGGTTTGGGATTGGCGTAGGGTCGGCTTAGGGTCGGTTTGGGGTCAGATTGCGGTTGGGTCGGTTTAGGGTCAAGTCATGGTTCGTTGAGGATCGGTTTCGGGTTTGTCTATGGTTGGTTTAGGGTTGGCTTGGGGTTGGTTTAGGGTTGGTTTAGGGCTGGCTTAGGGTTGGTTTAGGGTTTGTTTGAGGGCTAGCTTAGGGTGGTTTAGAGTCGGCTTAGGGTCGATTTAGGGTCGGCTTAGGGTCGGTTTAGGGTTGGCTTAGGGTAAGTTTAGGGAGGGTCGTTTTCGGATTGGTTTAGGGTTGGTTTGGGATTGGCGTAGGGTCGGCTTAGGGTCAGTTTAGGGTCAGATTGCGGTTGGGTCGGTTTAGGGTCGGTTCATGGTTCATTGAGGATCGGTTTCGGGTTGGTCTATGGTTGGTGTAGGGTTGGCTTGGGGTTGGTTTAGGGTTGGTTTAGGGCTGGCTTAGGGTTGGTTTAGGGTTTGTTTGAGGGGTTTAGGGTGTTTTAGAGTCGGCTTAGGGTCGATTTAGGGTCGGTTTCGGGTTGATCCGAGCTTTCAGAGCTTGTCAAAGGAACCGGCGAACTCGTTGCCGGCCCCTCGAGGTCTTGGGTTGGTTGAGTCCTTGAGTTGCAGGTAAGACCACGTAAACCTCGGAAGCTCAGAATTTCAGGATAATTGATCGGCCTTTGGTGTGACCAAGTTTCAGAGCTTACATCTTGCAAATGGAGCGTTCTGCTTTCGTTTACTCTGGGCTTTGAGCTTCTCCTTATCGAAAAACTACTCTAACACTCCATACGAAACTGTCTCATATGGTGTGAGAGCGTTCAGCATCCTGTTGAAACAGTCTGCAACCGACAGCTCTTTTTCAGTTTTGGTCATCATTCCCCTCAAGTTGACCCTCTAAACAGAGAACGCTGCCTTTCTCGATGCCCGAAATTGATGGACTTTGAAAATCAGCATGTCCTCCAGACTTGTTTGGACAGTCTGACTCCCTGTATGTCCCAAAGCCCACACTGACACAAGAAACAAGACAAGCCCGCGACGTGTCGACCGCCGTCTTCACGTCGCCGTGTCGCAAGAAGGCTTGGACGGCCTCGCCCAGAGACACGGATTTGACTATCGCAGATTGGTTCAACTCCTTCATGGCTACAAAGGCTCTGAATGATTTAAGGTTCATTGAGAGAGGCCAATTGAATCAGGAATGCGTCAAACCTAGGAGCACCTCTAGTTGTTGATGTCCTTGTGATTTCCTTCTAGCCACTGAAACGGGTTGGCAATCATCTACACCCATCCAAAATTCAGCGCAAAAAAGAAAACAAGCAACAAATGCACAGGCATTGGCTCACACAAGTTCTGTGTACCCCACTGCAAGGTCCAACAGGATGTGGGAAACAAATCCACCGGGACGCCTGGGGCTGGCAGGCTGACGAGCCTGATTGAGAGACTCATGTTTCCCCCGCAGTTGTTCATCGTGGGGCGTTCACGGGGAAGCAGTTGGATTCACAGCCAGTCTTCTCAGCCCCTCCGGCTCTCAAGTCTCAATGCACCTGGCAGCTGCTTAAAAGCGGCAAAGATGCAACAACCGTCCCGAGAAAGAAAAAAAAGGGGGGGGGGGGGGAACGCTCATTGAGAAGCCGCAGCAAATGACACAATGGCGAAGATCCCTTGTTCCGCGGACTGACAGTCAGCCTCTTTCCCTTTTCGAGACCCACTGGCCTGCTCGCACAGACCCACGGAGGCAAACTTGTTGCCCACCTCCGTCAGAAGTGGACTACCTCAGCTCAAAAGTGACGACCTCCAAGCTGATGTTTCCCACTTCCCGATGACAAAGAACAAAGGGTAGTCGGGGACATGCGCATCTTCCGAGCACCACCCAAAATCAAAAGCGGAAACAGCTCGCTTTCTATGTGCAAACACTGCAGGGTGGCTCCCTGCAGGATAACCTGCCGAACATCTTTATTGGAAGATTGAGCTGCTCCCTCTTGTTGCTTTTGCTGCTGGTGTGTCTATGGTTAGCAAGCAGACTGACGACGCCTTGAGTGCTGCGTGAAGTACCCATCAGTTATCGGAATAAACGAAGGCTCATCAAAAGAGGTATATGTTGGGTCCCTCAGAACTCGGCTATTCCGCACACTGAAGTCAGCATGCTTCACGTCACGAGCAGTGGCTAAACAAACATGGCCAATCAGTGGCTGCACTCAAAATGGCGGTTTTCCGAACCCCTGGTAGATTAGCAAACAAAGCTCTTTGCAGCTGCCCGGCTACAAAAAACAAAACGCAAAACTGACAACATACGGGTCTGTCTTTTTGTTGAGGGTACCCCCTTTTGGTTGGCTTTACACTGAAACCAAAAGGAAAACCCACGCGTTGCGGGGGGTCTCCATACAAAAAACGGTGAAGCTTTCAGCAGAGGGACCCTCCGGGAGCCCGGAGATGAGCCGCTCCAGCGCATCATAGTCCTGACCGAACCGACGACGGGGGGGTCAAAAACGGGGGGAGGCGGGTCTTTTCTTGAGGGTACCCTTTGGTTTAATGGGAAACCATTTGGGGGGTACCAACACATTTTGAAACAAACTCAAATCAATCTGAGCAGTCTTCCAAACCTGGCTTCTGACTTGGTTATTCCCCCGGGCAAGGTCGACAAAATGACCCCGGCAAAAAAAAGGGGCCCAACTTGTATCTGTCATTGGCTTGGTCGTTCTTGAGCCGGCAGGGTCCGCTGCTGCAACACCTTTGTCGGGACAAGTTTGGCATGCCAAGAGGAATCCGACACTTCTAGGGGGTCATGCAATTGTCCAATGAGGTCGTCTACACCGCCTTATCCTCATTTATGCATGGTTTTCCGGGCATGCATGGCGTCTAGGGGAGAATGCAAGATCTCCCGACAGTTTTGAATGTTTGACTCGTTTGTGTGTGTTTTGCGTCCGCTTTGGTTTCTTGCCCTGAAACGAGATCAGCCTTCACCCATCATTGCACCCCCCAACCGCGGACTCCATGAACTCGCACCACCCTTTGTGGCAAGCTTGGTGAGAGCGGGGGGGCTAAGCCCCGCACTTTTTTGCTCAACCAGCCCGGTGGCTTAGAATGGCATGTTTGGCACAAGGTTGAGGTGGGCTCGAACTTAAGTCTGTACGCGCGGTGCCATGCGAATTGAATGGTGCGGTTGGGGCTGGGAACTTTTCTGTTACATCGGGTTGGCTTGCTGGGCGAAAACGGAAGCAGGAACCAGGCAGTGGAAGGATGGCGGGAATTGGAGGCACAGTTGGGATCTTGAGAGGGCAGAAGGGAATCGGACTGCAGGTAATCCACTTCTCCTTTTGAACCACACATCAGCAGCTACTTGCCGTTTGTCCCCCAAAATCCGAGCTGGCAGGTTTGGGAGCTGAGTTCGATCCGAACACCGCGCCTCCAAAAAGTAGTATGTATCCACCAGGGCTGCGTTGTTGCCAGCCTGGCGCTGGGGCCCTAAGCAGGCTCTAAAGGAATCTTGAGGCATCCTTCCAAACCACACGAACAGCCCCCAGGTGGCATCTGCAAGAAAATGATGCTAAAGCCGGGAGTGCGTATGGCGCCTCAACCTCCGGTGTCAAGGCTGTTGAGCTTTCTGATGATTTTGGGGGACTGGGATTTGGATTCATGGCAAATGGGCGCCGAACGGCACGCATACTCTCAAATGTCTTTTTGGAACACGCATTGCTCTTGGTAAATGGGAGATGGCCATCAGTTGCTCATTTGATGACCCACAAAACCCAGCCAGTCATCATGCTCGTATCCTACATCTTTGGCAAAACCTGTTGTCTCCCGAAGCCTTGGCGTAGTAATTGGCAGCGTTGTGCCACCTGCCGTGTTGTCGGTCAAGCTGCTGACCGACTCGAGATTTGTTCAAGGCCAAGTAAAGGATTCGCACACCGCGATCTACAAATGCAGCGCCCTTTCTAGCATCAGCGCGAGAAACAGAGTGTCCCAACAATCTTTGGGGGCCAAGCCTGATTTTAAAGCACAAAACTGGACATGGAGTTTAAGCTTGCACCCTTCCAGTACCCCAGGTTTGAACACCGTGTGGCCAGCAGGGCAGATCGTCTGAAGCATCCAAGCAAATGACCTGCTGACTCACTCACCAATAATGTCGCACTGAAGTTGTGACATCTAAAGACAAGCCAATTGGGAATTGCCAAAGAAAGAAACCAGGGCCAAAATCAGCGCGAGCAAAAAAGAAACAGCCCCTCTAGGCATTGTTTCCGGGTTCAGGCGGGAATCAAAGAATAAACATAGAAACAAGCCCTCGAGCGAGCCCTGGTTCCGGCCCGGGGTCCCCGATCCAAACCAAAAGCTCCAGGCCCCCGAATGTGAAGTCCACTCAAACGGAGCCAGTTGGACCTGGGGCACGTGTTTTCTTGGAAGGCTCATGGAATTGCTAGTCTAAATTGGGAAGTCTAAAATAAGAACAGCTGATGTGGTTTCAAAGGCTGATGTGATTTCAAACCAAAAAAGCGTTGGGTCTTCTATATATATATATATAGCCTGTGTATACATATATATATATATATACATATACCATATTAAAACATTGGATATAATTTTATACAAAACCAACACCGGTTCCTCCAAAACCCGCAACACAGCCACTCCACACCGATCGCTGAATCTGGGCGCCCCACTTGCAGCGGTCCGCGTAGTAGTCACCAATGGCGCTCCAGGCTTGGTGCAGTAGGTCCTGTAAATGCTAAAACAATCACAGTAGACAGGACAGAACATCAAAATGCTTGCGTTCATGTCTGTCCTACACCCTTCACGTTCGTTGGCTGCGTCTCATACCAACTTAAGTCTAAACGCAACATGTCTGAACGGGCCGTAACGGTTTCAATTGCGTGTTAAGCACGCTAGACCCTTTCTGAATGGTATAATTGAATTGCTATGTCAGCACACATCATACTCTTGAAACTCAGTGATGTCTGCATACTTCGAATAGGTCTGAATTGTTGAATGGTCTGTTCCGCCTGCTACACGGGCGTCCCAACGTGCTCAAGTTTCCAGCCAGGCCTATATAACTCATCACCCAACTCTCCATCAGATGGCACCTCTGCAACTAGCCCAGGATTTTAGGATCCCAAAGTTTCATTTCGGCAATGTCCAAAGCAGTTGCTTCGCATTCCGTTTTTTTTCCGGCAGCATCCGATGCCATCAGTCGCACCTAGTTCTGCCGTTGGTTTCCCTGGCCCAAGGGCATCGCTCGGATTCTTCGGCCACTTGATGCATGGTTTGTTCAGAATATGTTGCTTGCAAGTTCAACTCAAATATGATTCACCCCAGGCGAGATGGCCCGTTTGCCCACCCAAGGTGGGACATCGGGTTCAGGTTCATCAACTTCACATGTTGTGGGGATGATTCACCCAAACATGTTGTCTGTTTGAGGGGCTGGCCCACCCCCGGAAACCTCCCGAAAAGGCGGCCAAACGTCCCCTGGCTGAGCCCAAGGCCGACCTTTTCTTTTGCCCGTCCGTCCTCGTTGGCGCCATGGGCCAGCTGAATCACGCGGAACCAGTCGCCCAGCCGGACGCGGAGGTCGATGGCCAAATCCTGCAGGTGGCTGGAATCGAGGGCCATGGCCGTCACTTCGGAAAGGGCCACAAAAGCGGCTTTGTCTTGAGGAGTTTTTCTTTGAAGAGGGCGGTTGTTGTTTTTTTCCGCTTGCAGCTGATTCAGGACTGACAAAGGGCAAATCCCCATCCCCTTTAGCGCTCTGCCAGTCCCGCGAAGATTGGCTCGGTAGGATTCGGACCCCAACCGGTGGGTTTTCCTTGTGGCTTCTCTTCGAAACCAAAAGGAGGTACCCCTCAAAAAGCGAGGGGTCCACCACACCCGTATGGTGTCCTGTTGGTCTTTCTTCGCGAGAACAGGGGAACAGCACCGCAGGTTGTGTTGGTCTAGAAACCGTTTTGGATGCGCCTTTTGTGGATTTCACCTGTTCTTCCCCCTGTTGGTCCCTTTTTAGTAATCTTTTAGTACTCTTTTAACTTTCTACAGGGGTGGGACCACAGAAGCCACATCCAAACCGTTTTCAAGAGTTGGTTCTGGTCGGAAGCATCCCTGATCGATTTTCCTAGGCATCAAGTTTTCTCCGAAGCCATGCGCCAAATAGGAGCCTCACCAAGACCCGCCAGTCGCATGAGAGAGTTTTGTTGCTTCGGCCAGTAACCACATCCCCGCAAAGGCAAACGGAGCAAAATTTCCGTTTGCCTTTGAAAAGAATTCCAATTTGCGCAGAGGAGTCCACGACCCCCTCCGAGTCCACGACCCCCAAAGGATCCCCTCCGAGTCCCCGACCCTCGCAACACTCTAATTAATCAGTTCCTTCGTCTAGCGCACACGCCACGTGCGAGTAGCTGGTGGTCTACATTGACAACCCAAAATGCGCGCATTCGTAAGACAGCCGCTGATGAAAGGAACAAACTGCTGGCTCCTTCTGCAGATCCAAACAGCCAAGTATGACCCGTTAGAGGGCTGCATCGTCAGCATCCACCAGAGCCGATATGGATCAGGTCATCTTCAAGCCCTCGAATAAGAACAGCGCATATGCAATTTGATATGACCATACATGTTTGGATGTAAGTATATATATATATATATATGTATGCATATATGTATATATATATATATATGTATGTATATGCGTGTACATGTATCTATATTCATATGTATATATGTGCTCCAGGACGTGGGCCCCCCTCCCCTTCCCGAGGTTCCCTTCCCGTGAGGGTGGGGTGGGGTGGTTGGGGGTTGGTTGGTTTAGGGTTGGTTTGGGGTCGGTTTAGGGTTGGCTTAGGGTTGATCTAGGGTTGGCTTCGTGGGGGTGGGGGTGTCGGGGTGCGTGTTCAGGTCTTGAAAGGGTGGGGGTCTGGGGACCGCAGCTGCAGGGCACACGGTACTGGACAGCATCCCCAGCATTGCCAGCATCAGGGCCTACCCTTGGGGGGACCCTGGGGACTGGAACGCACATATACACATATACTACCATGTGTGTGTGTATACATATATATATATATATAATGTAGACAATAAACGACGTATGAACAACACAGACGCGTCTACAATCCGGCTCTTTATTCGGTCGAGGGGGATGGCATGGAGGCTGCGGAAGCTGGGAGCTTGCGAGCGCCTCATCCCATCATCTGTGCATGCCCCACATCCCATCTACCAACACACCCACACCCACACCATCACCCACAATCGCTGGAGCTGCTAACACTCGTGTGATGTCATCTTAATGCTTCTGCGGCTAGCTTACTTTCAACAAAACTGCTACTGCTTGTGCCTTGAGTTTCCTTCCCCTGCCTGCCTTGCGGTCGATCTCCCGATACAGGCTTTCAGCCTCATCGAACCGCTGGAAGTAGGCAGCCACCTGGGCAAGTGCACGCGACTTTCCCAGCCGCATTCTGTGCTTTTCTTGTTCCCTTTGCCATTCTTGTCGTTCCCGTCTTTAATGTCTGTTGTGTCTTGCTCATTATTTCAGTGTTCCTTGTTTTGTTTCTTTCTTAGCTCTGCATTCCTTTCCGTCGGTGTTCATGCGTTGCGCTACCCTTTTGTCATCTTTTATGCTTGCAGAATTCGTGGCTTATTGCATGTTGCAACTTTTCCTCAGTTTCGGTGCTTCGGCCTGTTCTTTCTTTCTAATTGTTCTTCCTATCCTTTTTGCCCTTCTGTTCGGAATGTCCATCCTTCTCTCTCTCTCTCTCTGTTGTTTGAAGTATAGAAGGGAATAGCGATTGTGTAGGTTCCTCCACTTTAAAACAGGCCCAGATGCTTCTAGTTGGAGACCAGCCCCTGTTGTCCCACGTAGCACTTTAATGCCCCTTGCGTTGGCTACACCCTTTTGGCAGATTGAGCAAAGCTGCTTTTGTTATATTCCATGAGCAAAAGCCAGGGGTCGAGACCCCACCTGCAAGGCACCTTTTGGAGCCAATTTCGCCCGGGGGGGGCAAACTTGGATGAACACCTGGGATACTCAGATCGAAGATCCCACCAACTGTCAACAAGGCACACGACCCTCAGCAAAAGACAAACCCGCATGTCCTCCACTCGACTACATTAACTAACGAATAAAAATATTGACTGTTGCTCACCTCTATCTTCCATGGTGTGCGTCGTCGCAGCATGCTGGTGGTTTCGCCCCAATCCGTAACTCTGGTAGGATCATGTCTGTCTCTGTGGGTGAAACCGGATTTCAAGATTTGTCCCAAGGAAAAACCTGCTTGCCTCTTCGAGGTTGGCATGAACAACTCCAGGGACATGTCGGGTAGACTTCTGCTCGGACAAGGGAAAGAGCACATGGACATCCCCAAACGCCAGGGTCTCTGGGGAACCGGAACTCTGAGCAAGACTTTGCACGCCAAGTCCGGCTGTGGAGTTCACCTTTTGTTTCCTCCCTTCAAACACTTTTGGTGCTGGCGTATATGTCGCAACAACACCAGATTAGAGGCTCAACTGCTCTTGCACCCGGTTGCTTCTCCACCAACTTCTGGATCATCCCAGGTGACAAAAGCCCCAGATTCAAGAATTGCAGCAAAAGCCCTGTCAAATGCTTGGATGTGCTGAACGTTCCTCAGCTGCTCTTGCACCTGGCTGCTGGCTCCGGCAAAGTGTGGATGACCCCAGGTCACAACAGCCCCAGATCCAGCAGCAAAAGCACGACTAGGCTTGAAGGTGCTGGACGTTTCTCGGCTGCTCTTGCACCTGGCTGCCGTCTCCGCCAAATCCTGCATGGCCCCAGGTAACGACAACCCCAGATTTCAGAATGGCAAGCAAAAGCACCATTGATGGGACTGATAGCTGATGGAATGTGCTGGACGTTTTCAGCTGCTCTTGCACCTTTCTGCAGTCTCCGCCATGTTCTGGATCACCCCAGGTCACAACCTCGCCCCCGTGGGCATGCCAAGCAAACGCCCTACAGGTGGCAGCCAGTTCGCCCTGCACAACCCCCAGCTTGCAACACCGGATTCGCTCAGCATGGCCGTCAAATCGAGCATTTTGCAATGAGCGTCAAGCGGCGCTGGAAAGGCTGCCGCGCGGCAGCCTTCGGCTCGCTGACGGGCGTCTCCGGTGAGACTGCTATGGAGCACGCATCAAGCTTCCAAGCACAAACCTGAGAGATGAAAGCATGCAAATTGGGAGGGATACCCAATTGAATAGATTTTTGAGGGGATCCCTACAAGCCCTCCAACCGGCACTTTGTGACTCTTCAGTTCTGCAGCCAAAGCGAGATCGACACCGCGATTCGCTCGACCAGACCTGAAAAAGAGGAACATACCCCCTACTCCAAATATCCATTTTCTAAGGGTATCATGTCAACCCTCTGCTAAAAAAGGTGGGTTTTACCATGGAAAATATTTTGTTTAATTGAGTAGGGGGGAACTTTTCTTTTGAGCCATACCCACCTATCCCTTCAAGCCCCCCCACAATTGGCGGCTCGTCGGTCCCCCTTGCATCTTGTTGCCTCGGCCTTCTGCTTGACGCGGTCGTCCAAGAGCCGCAGGCGCTTCACGAGCTGAATGCCCTCACAAGTACCAGTGTGGAAGGGACCCTGGCTTTCCAACCCACATGCTTTGGGTTTACGGGCCCAAAAAGCATGTTGGGGGTCGGGGGGGGGGGGGGGGTGAAATACCAGCTGGACCCTGTAGAACTGCTGTATGAGTTCCTTGAAGACAACCAATGCCCTCCTGTAAGCTAACCCCCACACTTGCGCATAGAGTCATAGAGTTGCTCCTCCAGGAGTTGCAACGCCTTGCTCCACATCTGCAGAAGAGGAATGATTGTAGTAAAAGTGGCGCGTTTGCATAACCTATATGTTCCACTTCCCTTCTGGGGCGGGCTTCAGCATACAGGCTCATTGTTGGCGGAAACAAACCACAGCCAACCGCCGGAATGACTGGAGCTGACTCAAAACACATATCCTACTCAAGTGTTGCATCACTATTGTCGCTTATCCGTGAACAAAGGCAGGCCCCTTTTTTGAAAGACGGATGTTCTTTTGAAAGGTGCCTGTGCACTTCCATGTTTGTTGGTGATACAGGAAACCACCTTTGTTGGCTTTGCTCTACAAGGCGAGTCCGCTGAGCACCCCCCCCCCCCCGCCGGACAAACCCACCCCCAGACCCCATCCCCCACCCACCTCGCCCTTTGCCCTCGGCAGGCATAATTCACCAGCTTTCGGGCTCTTCAGGCATGATGAATCTCAAAGTTCTATAGGTTGCCAGCTCAAAACTGGCTGTCAACGCAACAAGCTTCGGAGTTGGTGGGGGTAAACGGGGGAACGGGGTAAGGGTAGTAGGCCCGTCCCACCCGCCCCTCGCACGCGTCGCGCGCAACCGCGCAAAGCCGCTGCCTCCTAACTCAGCTGTATCTCTAGGAGAAAGGGACACGTCTGCATCCTCTGGTAGATATCGCCACAACGACGTCGGTCCCATCCACAACAACGAAAGCGTCCAACACCCACTTGCATATTCAAATCAATTTGTAAGTAGCTCACCATGATTCAGGAACCGGCCCCTGTTGTCAACCAGTTACAACAATGGTTGTTAGGTACTTGAAGGGTTCTCAAACTATGTTTTGAGGTTGATGTCATTCAGCTCAACTTGTGAAGGGTCGTATGAAGTAGATCATAAGCAACTGTGCGTCGAACAGCTAAGAGACGCAGCTGAGCCTCAAAGGACATCGGAAAACTGTGGCACACACACACACACACGTTGCTTTGTCGGGGAAAGGCGGGGGCCCCTCTAAAACTCGTCCTGAAACTAAACACTAGCCAGCCAAGCAAAATTGAATGAAGTATTCCTATTGTTGGTTTTACTCAACAAGAAATCCTGCCAGTGCCAACACCCCTTTTTGGATAGGTTGAAAGAGCAAGAGGAAACCGTCTCCATGTTTGAGGGATAGCTATGCCCTGTCTAGGAGGATCAAAAATTACAGGGTCTTCTTCACTAAACATCAGCTGAGAAACCCCCAACTGAGAAAACACCACAATGTTTGATAACACCCTTCAGGAAACGACCACCCACCCAACAAGAAACATGTCATCCACAAACATCCAGCCTAGCAAAACAGCACCAAGGAAGCGGATCCCTTCCCCTGCCAAACCAACAAATCGCAGATGCGCGGCGAAAGCGCCAAGCCAAGGCGAAGGCCTGATAGTCCTCGAAGCGCACGAAGGCCTTCTCTGCCACAGAGAACTCTAGCTGCTCCAAAGCCGCCTCCGCCAGCAGCCTGCGACACACGAGCGAGCCAGCTTCGACGGTATGCGGTGGTTGAAGAATGCCGAAATTAGGGGGTCGTAAAAATTGGGGCCTACATAGTAAACCCCCTTGGTTCCCTTTATTCCCAAATAAGAATATCTAAAGAAGGGAAATGCATCACCCAAATGCCAACTGATTTAGAGGATCCAAATCCTTGTGCAAAGCTGCAAAGTTCTGCAGGCTCTAAGATTGCCTGAAATCTGTTTTTTTTTTTTAACAAATGGTGTCCCTTCCAACTGAGACTAAAAAACACTCAACAAGGGGGGTTCCAACCTGGGTGTGGTTCCTTGAAGCTGGGAACATGTGACTGTCAAAAATGAGAAAACGCAAAACATGGCTTTCCTGTTGGTTTCCCTGGTCACAAGGCTCGCCTCAACAAAACCAGACACGATTTTGGAGCGGTACCGTTGTTCTTGGAACTCTGGACCACATCGCCGCCACCCATCCATCCCAGATTTCTTGATCACTCAGCTTGCCCCATATGCGTAAGTGGAGGCTTCCCGTCCAAAGCTTCCATACATGTTTGTCC